GGGGGGGGCGGGGGAGCATTCATAGCCATAGGGGGCTCATAGCCATAGCCATAGCCATGGCCTTATAGTGACCATTCGGGAGACGTCCGAACATTTTGATAAAACCCATAACAATCAGAATACGCACTCATAGGTGACATGTATAGTAAGTGCTTATTATGCTATTTATTGAAATGTTGTAAAAAAATGATTGTTAAATTTTATATTGATTTAGGTAATGTAAAATAGTGGACATTTTTAGAAAATGTCACAATATAATTACAAATAATATTTATTACTGCAACTTAAATATATTAAATTAAAAAGAGAATTTATTTGTCCACTATATTCAAATGAAAACACATCTAATCATAATGTAATAGCCTTATAATATTTATTTTTTAGAATATTTGATAAATTCATTGGCAAATTTTGAAACAAATAATTTGTTAAAATATAATGAATAATTTGCCCTATTTTAATCAAAATATTAATGTTTTGTCAAAAAATTAAATAGTGAACACTTCTATGTCCACTATTTGCTCTTCAATTCTAAGTGGACAGGTTCTCGAAATAGTGGACTGTCCACTTGAATAGTGGACAGTTGGCAACCCTACATGTAGACATGAGCCCGAAGGACACGAGCTCGAAAGACATCAGTTCGAAAACATATATATTAATTAATTTAAATCATGTTAAATTGATAGAAATAACTAATATTATTAACAATTAAGCTAATTGGAGCTGATTTTATAATGATTAAGCTATTGTTAATAATTGTCAATAGCCTATTAACAATTTATTAATTATATTTATTTTTAAATTTTCAGTTTATTGCTGGGGTCTTTCGAGATTGTGACTTTCGAGCTCATGTAATACTCCCCATATTTACATATATTGCTATTATAAAAAATCGATTTTATTTGTTGATTGTAATTAAATTTCAATATGACCTGTTATTATTATATTCACACCTTTATTAAAAATCAGGGTTGTATAAAAATTGAAATATATGATATGCTTTAGTTAATTAAATTAAATTAAAATGTTGAGCTATTTTAACAATTTCTATTGTTAATACAATTAGTAATTATAATTGTCAATTACGACACTTTTGGTAATTTCAATGTTTTGAATATAAAACCTAAAACCAAAAACTCGTGAGACTTCTCTTTCTTTACATTTTATATTTATTTGAAATAAATTATTTCTATTACTAAATCTTCCTTTTGTTTCAATTCTATCGAAAATATTTCTGTTTTTAGATTAAAATTGAGTCAAACTTACGAAATACAGTTGAATAGTCAAAATAAACCTGCGGTAAACTGATCCCCAATAGATGATCGGTTCACATCCCGAGTCTGGGCTAATACTATTGACCGTTAAAAATAGTTGCTAGAGTTAAATGCAATTCCCTGAGCATCAATGTAAAGAATTTAACGTAGAATTATAATATGGTAATAACTTGTTGGAGTGCATAGATTTAATGTAATTTCAATTTGTTCTTGGTCAATGTTAGTTGGTGTAGGATAAAGTCAATGTTCTGGTGGGAAATTAATGTGGTGATGGTGTGGGGTGCAAAAGTTGCAAAGTAATAGTTTATTTAGCTACTTTTATTTAAAATCTAACAGAATTGAGAGACTATCATAAAAATCGATGCACCCCATCTACATGTATATGATATTACGATATTCTAATTTTACTTTAAATTCTACATTGACTTCAAGATAGCATATTAATCGTGGATAAGTTAAATTTCCTGATAAGAGTAGTCACCCGATGTCGGACAGCCATATGTGAAAGATTAATTGTCTCCTTATTTGACTAGAGTGACCAACTCGAAAAATGAGAAACCTGTACATTTTATTAAACTTGCCTGCACGCTCACCCGGACCTCGATAGAGCATAATTATCGACAATCTTAATGTGTATAAACCAATCAATCGCAATCTTGTACTGATAGAATTGTGTGTATTAAGACAAGATACATAAATTGAAACCCAAAATATAAACATATTTCAGCTTCAATTCTAAAAAAATTAAAAAGAATTTGTTTATCTTTAATTAAAACCCAATAATTCTGTTATAATACTATAAAACTTTGATCTGATTTTTATAAATTTCTCGCCAAGACTTTATATAGTACAGGTCCATGATGGTGTAAAGATGAAAATTTCAGTGAAATATTCAAATGAATCTTTTGAACAATTTTGAAACTTTAACGTAAATTTTTATGTTTATAATTAGATACTTTTAATTAGCTGAAATATAGAATCAGCATATTTAAGGGGATGAGTTATCATTTAAAATAATTTAAAAATATTATTTGGTTTTTTAAATATTTAAAATTTAGCAAAAATTATTCTAAATTCTTGAAAATTCTGTTATGTATTATGAGAATATTTTACTTGAAAAATATATTTTAAAATTTTCTATTACAAAACAATGATAAATTTGCGGCAAATAAAACGCTCTTATTAATATTTAAATATATTATTTTTTGGCAATAATTGTTAATTACAAAAATTAGTCATTTATTTAGTAAACATGTGCAACAAAGATGTCGCTAATATAGGGTGGCTGAAAATTTAGCCTAAAGATTCAGAAAGACCTTAAAGATTCCCTAAATTTCACCACTAACATTCCTAAGTACAGGCGAGACCCCTGTTTGGACATTGAACAGATTATCCAAAACCTGTACTGTTCAGGCCAAACCTGTACGGTTGGTCACTCTATATTTGACATAGTTTAAACATTAACATAATACGTTAAGCTGTTAATAATTGAATTATAATGAACCCAACCGTATGTCTGCACCCACTTCACAACTTTGATGGTCAAATTAACCACATTTTTGATGTACATTAATTAAGGTAAGACTGTAACTTACAACTTGTTAGTTACAAAAAAACCCTAGTTGGCCCGGTTGCTAAAGGTTAATAACTAGTGTCAAAGGTTTTATATTTAAACATATAAAACGTAATAAAACAAACGAAATTTTAAAAATGCTAAAATATGCTTAAACAAATAAAAACACAATTTAGGGATTATTTTTACAAAAAGTGTTATATAAAAATATTCACATTTTTAGGTAAAAATTCTAATTTTAAAATATGGACAACTAAAAAATAGTGAACTTATATCATAATAATAAGTAATATATTGACATTAATTACAATCAAAAATAAATTGAATTATAATAGTAATAAATCTAAATATGTTATATTTAACTTATAAAAATTGTTATTATAGCATATTATCTCAATAGATAATACCTCAATCAATATTATATTGATAGCATTCATACTGTATATCTTAATTTCAACTTTTAAATTATTAAGCTGTTTCCAGTGACCGAAACACACATTTTTGCCTGTAATCCGCTCACAGGTAATAATAAGATGTGTTAATTTGATAAGTGATAAAATAATTATTATTAAAATTCAATATTAAATTAATCAAAAAACAAAGTTTACACTTAAGTTGGGTTTAAAGAGTTGCCCTCTTTTTAAGAGCCAAATGAATGGGTTGTTCTGGAGTTGCAATCATTCGTAAATTAATGCCAATCTCTTTGTTAGAAACGGCGGATAATTGAAATTTCTGTACAATTCGTGATAAAAGGAATTGCATCTGAATCTCAGCCACTCGGCGGCCAATACAAGACCTGACGCCCAAACCAAATGGCAGACAGGCGTGAGTATTGATGGTCTGATGGTTTGCCAGTTCTTTATCTCTAAGCCATCGCTCGGGCATGAATTGATTGGCATCATTGAAATACTCGCACTTACGGCCAGTTGTGTATAAAGACATGACAATTAATTTTCCCGAAGGTATGCCATAACCTGACAGTTCCATATCGTGCGACAGATATCTTGTGAGGAATGGCGCCACGGGGTATAACCTGGCAATCATACATTCATTATTACATCAAGCAAATATTATTCAATTAAAGTTTTTTCCAATTTAAAAAATAATTTTAGAATTGATTAATAATTAAAGTAATGATAATTTGATACCTTAGCGCCTCTTTGATCACTCCTTTAGTGTATGAAAGGTGTGGTAAATGGCATTCCTCTACTATGTGTCCACCGGTAACACTATTCACTTCATCTAACATTCTTCGCTGACATTGAGGATTGCGAGACAATAGATAGAGTGCCCATTGAGTGGCGTGTGATGTCGTGTCCGCCGCTGCAATAAACAGGTCAACAATAATGCGAACCATTTCTTCGACACTAATAGAGCCATCATTTAGTAATTGCCGTATTATTCCCTGTCCTGACATTCCATCGCTTTCTCCATTCACTTCATTTCTAATATGTTCGACGTTTTCGTTCACATAAGTCCGAGCTTTTCATACAAATCCAAATAATTAAACACATTAATGTTTACCAATATTTTTAAATAACTTTTTCTTTTAAATTAATGTAAATAATAGCAATTTATTAAAAAATTAAGGCACAAAATAAATTACTCTAATAATTAAAAATTGACTTATATTGAAATAAAAGAATTAGTAAATATTTACACTGTACACTTTACCGTATATAATATTAAAAATATTTATCTAACTATTGTAAGTAATTGTGTATATAGTGATTATATAGTAATATGAGATTATGTAAAATACCTAGATCAAGTGCTTTACGGGCCGCCCCTTCAAAACGACTCCAAACGGGCAAATTGAGACGAAATGCCAGTTTCGGTGGTATTAACTGCATGTTTGCCGACTCAACAAAGATCTGTTGAACACAATGAACGAACTCATGTATATTGGCCATTGGCTTCTCACTACCACTGCCACTACCAGTGCCACCAGTCATCTCATTCATTGCTATACAACCAAGTCGTCGACCGAAAATCATAGTTCCTAAAGCTTTTAACCAACAGAACCGGTAAGAAATATATACTCAATTCCATAACAATTATTGGTAAAAGTAATCAATCAGTAATTCAAACAATTAATTAATAAATTACTAAACAAAACATGAATCGTTATTTCAAGCACTTTCAATTAATCACAAAAGGATTGTAAATCAAATGAAATTTATAGTAAATACATGTATTACAGCTTATATTTATTTAAAAAATGAAAGCAAAAGTGGTCGGTTTAGCCATAAAACGAGTTTAATCTGTTTTTGATGTACTGTTCAAATATATTACATGAAAGTCAAGTGAAGAGTAAAAATTTATATTATAAAAAGCAATTAAAATTAATGTTATCTTTGGATATCTTGGGAGAATACAATTTCAAAAATGTCTCAAAAAAATTAATGGCAATTAATGATCAAAATGTTTCAAATGCATTAATTTTAATGATTTGCCCAAAAAGAGGTTCTTATGTTAAAGGCTAACCTCAACCTTGAAATTTGAGAATAAAACATCATTTAATTTGTATTTATATCAAACATTTATAAATTGTCCAAAAAATTTTGACATGCATTTCAAGGCTAACCATAATAAATGTTATAAATTATTATGAAAAAGTGGATTTAGCTTTATATAACACATCCAGTATTTAAGTAGTTATTTTATTTTATGTAAATATAAAGCTCACACCAAGGTTGCAACTCAACCACATGTGTTTGTACTGTATATTAAATGTATATACTTGTTTTATTTTCATATATTTTACAGTACAAAACTTAACGTCTGATTTTACTGTTTTACCTAGACATTATACTGTATACGTATGTTGTGCCTTGCTTATCTATAAATATTCATCACTATGTATTGTTATTTTATTTTCAAATATTTTTGTTAAGTGTTTTTTGTTAAAAAATGAGTTTAAAAATCCAAGAGTTTGACTTTGAGAGAGAGAGAGAGAGAGAGAGAGAAGATAATATGCTATAATAACAATTTTTATAAGTTAAATATAACATATTTAGATTTATTACTATTATAATTCAATTTATTTTTGATTGTAATTAATGTCAATATATTACTTATTATTATGATATAAGTTTATGGTAATTTACATTTTCATCCCTACCTGTACTATATAAAGTCTAGGCAAAAAATTTATTTTTTAAAAATCAGATCAAAGTTTTATACTATTATAACAATATTATTGGTTTTCAATTAAAGATAAGCAAATTCTTTTTATTTTTTTAGAATTAAAGTTGAAATATGTTTATATTTTGGGTTTCAATTAATGTATCTTGGCTTAATACACACAATTCTATCAGTACAAGATTGCGAGGTATGGTTTATACACATTAACATTGTCGATAATTATGCTCTATCGAGGTCCGGGTGAGCGTGCAGGCAAGTTTAATCAAATGTACAGGTTTCTCATTTTCGAGTTGGTCACTCTAGTCAAAGAAGGAGTCAATTAATCTTTCACATATGGCTGTCCGACATCGGGTGACTACTCTTATCAGGAAATTTAACTTATCCACGACTAACATGCGATCTTGAAATCAATGCAGAATTTAAAGTAGAATTAGAATGTCGTAATATTCTATTATAACGTAGAGTTATTACCATTCCAGCCAATACTGACAATCCACACCTCTACCTTTAGCACTGGTTCTACAGAGTCGTATAACAAACCAGTGCTAAGGGTAGAGGTGTTTATTGTCAGTATTGGCTGGAATGGTAATATAATATGGTAATATTAACTTGTTGGGGTGCATAGATTTTTACGATAGTTTCTCAATTCTGTTAGATTTTAACTAAAAGTAGCTAAATAAGCGATTACTTTGCAACTTTTCACCCACACCATCACCACATCAATTCCCCACCAGAACATTGACTTTATTCTACACCAAAATTGTACACCAACTAACATTGACCAATAACAAATTGAAATTACATTAAATCTATGCACTCCAACAAGTTGATATCACAATATTATAACTCTACAGTACGTTAAATTCTACATTGATGTTCAGGGAATTGCATTTAACTATAGCAACTATTTTTAACGGTCAATAGTATTAGCCCAGACTCGGGATGTGAACCGATCATGTATTGGGGATCAGTTTACCGGAAGTTTATTTTGACTATTCAACTGTGTTTCGTAAGTTTGACTCAATTTTAATCTAAAAACAGAAATATTTTCGATAGAATTGAAACAAAAGGAAGATTTAGTAATAGAAATAATTTATTTCAAATAAATATAAAATGGTAAGAAAGAGAAGTCTCACGAGTTTTTGGTTTTATATTCAAAACATTGAAATTACCAAAAGTGTCGTAATTGTATTAACAATAGAAATTGTTAAAATAGCTCAACATTTTAATTTAATTTAATTAACTAAAGCATATAATATATTTCAATTTTTATACAACTCTAATTTTGAATAAAGGTGTGAATATAATAATAACGGATCATATTGAAATTTAATTACAATCAACAAATAAAATAGATTTTTTTATAATAGCAATATACATTGTATGTAAATATGGGCTCGATTACATGTATTACATGAGCTCGAAAGTCACAATCTCGAAAGACCCCAGCAATAAACTGAAAATATATAAATAAATATAATTAATAAATTGTTAATAGGCTATTGACAATTATTAATAATAGCTTAATCATTATAAAATCAGCTCCAATTAGCAATTAGCTTAATTGTTAATAATATTAGTTATTTCTATCAATTTAACATGATTTTAATTAATTAATATACGGTATATGCTTTCAAACTGATGTCTTTCGAGCTCGTGTCCTTCGGGCTCATGTCTACATACCGTAAATATGAACAGGCAACATTTCAATAAATAGCATAATAACTTATTAATAAGCACTCACTGTACATGTCTCCTATGAGTGCGTATTCTGATTGTTATGGGTTTTATCAAAATGTTCGGACGCCTCCCGAATGGTTACTATAAGGCCATGGCTATGGCTATGAGCCCCCCCCCCACTCTATTTCTTTAGCTCTAAACTATATTTCAAATTGTCATTATAAGATTATTTATCAATAATTATTATTAAAATATATACAATATTTTTATTCATTAAAACTGATGCTTTACAG